CCCTGAACGCGAAAAGTGACAGTCTCTTTAGTCGCGTGTATGACCACCTTGAGCTTGCACACAGGCCGTGCAACGTGGTCTCATTGAGTTCATTAGAGTCTGAAAGAATGCCTGAGGAAATTGGTTCCGCTCAAACACCAATCTCTATTCCAATTGTGCAAGTGTGAGTGGCTGTTTACGTCAAATTTCGTCCCAGATTGTTTAATGTGAGCCATATACGGGGAAAGAGATGGCGATGGAAAAACGTTAATGTTGTTTTGAGCCAGATAATTCATCGACACCCCTGCTGTGGGAGGGCTGCAAACGTCGCTGGCGTTGTTGGTGTGTCAAAATTGGCCCCACATATGGCCTTCGGCAGTGGATTCCAGCAGCCCGAAGACGACGCCTAATCGTATCGCTGGACACTGCTCCCCCTTGACCCATGAACTAAGGCTGCTGTTACTGTTGGTGCTTGAGTTCGGTTCCTTAGATGAGTGACCTGGATGAACCGATCTTGCGCATGAGATGACACTCGTTGCCGTCCGGTACGGGGACGATCAGCAGCAACCCCGGTTTGCTGATGACGTTGAGCAAGTCGTGTAATGGTGGTAAGATGACAGCCCAATTGTCTAGCTACAGCGGTTGCAGAGCTACCTCCATGCAACTTTCCAATGGCCATTCCTCTCTGCTCAGTCGTTAGTCGAGGCATCGTTTGTGTGGCGTGCACATCTCCTAGTGTCAATACTGAACTGTTTTTTGACACAAACCTTTATAAAGGACACCTCAGATTGAAATGCATGCTTTTCATCCAGAACCGTTGCTGCAAGTGCTGCAATTATGGTTTTGCTGCACTGTTGGTGTGTTTGTGCGAATGGTTCGTATGGACGTCAAATTGCATGACATCATCTCATCTCGGATCATTATGTCACTTTATCATGAACGTTCCATGAACGCTTACCTTCATGAGATTTCATTTATTCGAAACTTCGTTTCTTTTGCTGTTCAATATAATAAATGGACAAACACATATGTAATGAAACTGCACCAAAAGAAAAACTGGTACTGTCGCCATGCATTGTTGAATTCATTGTGAACGTCTGTTACTATGCCCGATGACAGATGCTCATGGTGTTAATCACTGGATTGTCTGGTCCAGACTCATATATTTACAGGCTGCCGTCATATAGCTGGAATACTGGAGTATGAAGGAGCACGGTCTTATAACAAGCCAAGGGTAGCTGTCACGAAGCGAACATCAGTGACTGACATAAGGCAATTGATATTTACCTGTAAAATACTGCCAGCCTGCCTCTTGTTCACCCCCAGTGAAGACGGATGAATAGTACAACCGGCAACGTTGAAACGCTGGATTGTGCAGTACCATGTTGCACTGCAGATTACGGAGACAAGACCACAAGCATGCAGCTTTGTCAGAAACACTGCGTTCAGTGATGAAGGTGTCAATGAACATTTGTCCGTCCAAACTTCTATGATGGTTAAATGTCAAAATGTGACATGACTGTAAAATTGAGCTGTAAGTCACGGTGATGGTGAGAACTAGCTGAACAAATTCCCAAGCAACCATCCTCATGCTGCAAGTTTCTAAAATAGTTCCCTGTAGTTAGAGAACGGGAGAATATTAACAGCTCAAAGTGTTAATTGGTGGTATGACGCCAGTATTGAGTACACGCTCGGTTGCCTTGTAAACATGTAAATTGGCTCTGTTCACCGACCAATCACTGACAAAGTGATCCTGTGACTATCTTTAAGGAGCGGCCGTTTGAGATATGAATTATATATTATAACACAATGCCATTTAGAAAGTGGTCAAATGTAACATATGTTATATTTGGGATTGCACTTTCGTAGTGGGACTCAACCCAACAAAAAGGCACTAGTATCTGTACTTTACTAAGAAAGTGTATCTGACCATAACTTGTAAATGACATTGTGTAATCACAGCTTTCAGCCGTTGGAGCCATGCCATTTTACGCTTATCAGATGTACACAAGTCCGCTCTGGACTACCACTTGTGCGACTTCCATTTTCGTGGAAGTCGCCGTGGCTGGGCGGGTTAGGTGGCTGCCTTTGTGTGCCGGCGATTAGGAGCCAGACTCAGAGGGTGTGGGTTCGTATCCCGGATGGGACTCAACCCAACAAAATGTACTAGAAACTGTACTTTACTAAGAAAGTGTAATCCCAAATATAACACTTTACATGAATTATATAGTTCACATTAATGAAAGAACGGAAGACAGCTCGTCACAATGTTTGGCATCAATGTCAGGAAGTTCGATTATCATATCGATTCATTACAGTCTTGCGCAAACAACTGTGATAAACAACTTGCAAGTTACTATTCGGCGTGAGTGAGTTACGTTTACGCCGCTTTTTGGAATATTCCAGCAATAACACGGCGGGGAACACCAGAACAGGCTTCACACATTGTACCCATGTGGGGAATTGATCTCGGGTCTTCGGCGTGACGAGCGAACGCTTCAACCACTAGGCTACCCCACCGCCTCCGGTCTGTTTGAAGTAGCTAACACAAAACGGAACGCACGATTAATATTTTTATTTCTGACTCGCTGTTACAGAAAGTGATCAGACACTCATGGTTGCGTCTGGACAATGAGTAGAGAAATACATCGACTTGTTTTAAAAAGAGGGCACAAATACTAGAGACAAGGACGCACGCGAGCGCGCGCACACACACACGCACATAGTGAGTGAGAGAGAGAGAAAAAGAGTGAGAGAGACATAAACATAAACATACACAAACACAAACATCAGTAAACAATGTAAGGACAATCAGTATTTAATTATTGTGATTCATCAGCAAAGTTAGCCACAGCGTGTTACGACATTTATTTTATATAAAACGTGGCTTGTTCACTTTGGATACATGGTGTAAATATAGGGTGACAAGTAAGTAAGTCTAAGAATTATTTTCAAATGTTTACATTTACATCTAGTCAGTGAGTGTGTGAGTGAATATTGCCTACCGCCGCATCAGCAGAACATTTATATCTAAGCAGAATTACATAACATAGAACCACGTGTTACAATATGCTCCAACAGTTACTGAAGTAGATTCTCATACAGACAAACAAAATACACACACACACGCCCGTAAATAATGTAAGGACATTCAGTATTTAATTATTTTCATTCATCACAGCAAACACACATCACACGCACACATACACACACACACATACACACACACAACCGTAAATAATGTAAAGACATTCAGTATTTAATTATTGTGATTGATCACAGCAAACACACGCACACGCACATGTGCACTCACACACACCCGTAAATAATGTAAGGACATTCAGTATTAAATGATTGTGATTCATTACAGCAAACACACGCACGCACACGCACACGTACACACACGCACCCGTAAATAATGTAAGGACATTCAGTATTTAATTATTGTGATTCATCACAGCAAACACACACACGCACACACACACACACATCCGTAAATATTGTAAGGACATTCAGTATTTATATATTGTGATTCATCACAGCAAACACACGCACGCACACACACACACATCCGTAAATAATGTAAGGACATTCAGTATTTAATTGTTGTGATTCATCACAGCAAACACACGCACACGCACACGCACACACACATCCATAAATAATGTAAGGACATTCAGTATTTAATTATTGTGATTCATCACAGCAAACACACGCACACGCACACGCACACGGACACGCACACGCACACGCACAAATTCATTCAGTTTCTGTACTGAGCTGTAAGGTGAACTTTCTGCTTAGAGTCACTAAAGACATTCATAACACAACAGAACATTACAGCGATTCATCAGCAGAACCATGGAGTCACAACATGTTACAACATCTAGTTTATGTAAAGCTTGTCTTGATTCACTTGGGATACATGTCGGAATATTGGGCATCAAGTAAGTAAGACTGAGAGATATTCTCAAATGTTTACAGTTATATCTAGTGAGTTTGTCAGTGAGTGAGTGAGTAAATGTTGCCTAACGCGGCATCAACAGAACATTTATATCTAAACAGAACTACATAACATACAACCACGTGTTACAATATGCCCCAACAGTTACTGAAGCAGAGGTATGCTGTTTGTCATACAGGCAAACAAAAAATGAAGTGTAATTTTTAGTACATGTTATCAGGTGAAATAATAAGCTTTCCTTCAGGAGAGCTGTAATCTTATATTTAATTATGAATCGACATACAAATGACATCACAATGAGTACAAATGTATTTCTCACATAAGAGATCCTGAAACATTGAAAAGAAATTATAGTTTGTAGACATCAGGACACTAAAGTGAACAATTCACAATTATTACCAATAATGTAGATTTATATTAAGTGTCTGGATACTCAGCATGTCTTGAGTAAAAAAGGAGCATATATATACAATGTAATATCTGAATGGGTCTATGTACAATATCATATCAGTTCTGTCTGTAAATGTACAATGAATATATTAACAATCTGTACAATGGTCGACCAGTCAAATTGTCTTTATAAAAGTTAACTCACCACTTCCTTATTGTCATGACAAAATGGGAAGAAAGAGAAATATCCTTCTCCTACTCCCAGACTCCCAAGAGTACACAGACAAAGTTATGAATGGAAATCGACAGGACGGACAGACAGACAAGCAGACAAACTGACAGACAGACAGACAGACAGACGTCGGGTTGTATCTTTTCCGACTCCAAGAACACATCGATATTTACAAACATGCCTTTTGACAACGTGCAAAGAATGAGAAAAATTATGAACGGAATTCGACAGACAGACAGCCAGACAGACAGGCAGAGGGACAGACAGACAGAGGGACATAAGGCAGACGTCAGGTTGTGATCTTAACACATCAGTTACATCTACACGCGTAACCGAAAATATGTTTACCTATTACCATTTGCATTATTTTACATTACATGTATATATACCATGATCAACATCTGATAACACAGATCTGATAACAAGCAAATAAGCATGTCTTAAATAAGCATGTAATAATTGAGATGTGAATTATTTACAATATCTCAGATTTGAAACCAGAAAGTATAGTCAATGCATTGTGTCAAATATTTAGTGAACAGATGAAATACGAGTCCCTCAGTTCATCGTAATTCTCCAGGGATGAACAAACTATGTCAAGCAATTACATAGACATCTATGTACATATCTACAGAATCTGATTATAGACCAAGAGTTGCTACCCACAGCCGCCAAAGAAAGCATACGTTGGCATGAAAAAAAACCATCCAGTAATCACTGAATGTGAATTATTTTCGTTATAAAGCATTTGCAACCAGCACATATTGTCAATACATAATGTCATATATATAGTGAACATCTGTAATGTCTTTTATCAGTATTTCTCCAGGAATGAACAAATTGTGTCAGACAATTACATAGACATCTATTTACATATCTACGACATCTGATTACAAGTCAATAGTTGGTATCCATAGCAACGAAGGAACATGTCTTGGCATGAAATAAACATTTATTAATTCCTGAATGTACATCATTTTTCAAAGTGTGCCTTTGCAACAAGCAATATAGTAAGTGCATATTTAAATCAAAAGGATTAATGAGAGGACAAGATTTAACATATATTTGTAAAATTGAAATGATATAGATTTATGTTGACAGTTAATATTTGGATGCGGTGGTTCCTGGGAACTTTGACGTCATATTGAACATTTTCACCGACCTGTTCCCATCCATGCACTTATTTATTGCTCACAAAGTTTAATGCTTATTTAAGTGCCCAGGAGTAAACTAATGTAATATTATGCACCTATGTACTGCAGCATTATGTTCTGTGTCAAAATGATATAGACATCAATTTACATATCTACAACATCTGATTACAATTGGTACCAAGAGCAACACCGATAAGTCAAGTGTCAAATACAAGAGGGTGTTATCTTCCAAACATTCACTAAAGAAGATAGGCATATTCAAATTGCATACTGAGACGATTTGAAAAGCATACTAGATTATTTGTATTTATTTGACAATTTTGACCTCACAAACATCAGATTGTTCAGCTTATTGAGGCATAAGATCATCAAAATCAATAATGTCGTAATACAGGTTTCATTTGAAGTGTCATCTGCTGTGTACAAAATTCCTTTGTTGCTTTCTTGTTCATACTTATTATGCATTTTAACAGTGTATCAGTATATTTAAGAATTCAATCTTTGATGCCCAGGATGATCCTTGACATTTTTGAGCTTTTAGGAAAGTCCATCAGCTGTCCAAACCTTTTTCAAATCTTTCTCATTCCCGAGAATTCCCTGACTTATTCCTCAGGTATTCCACAATGACATTACTCTGTCCGCTCTGAGCCAGAGTAAGGATGCATTCGCTTGTGTCTGAGACCAGAAAGAGATCTGCCTTGTGGTCCACCAGTAGCTGGAACACATCCCAATGTCCACACACAGCCGCCATCATCACCGGTGTCAAGTTGTACCGACCTCTGACATTGATGTCAAAGGTCGGGAGCAGATACTCCACACATTGTCTGTTGGCTCCGGGACAAGTCAGATGAAGCAGACTCCAAACTGATCTGTCTGAACCAACTCAGGACTGTTGTCATAGCAACTTTCAACATTTCAAAAGATACTGTCACTACCGATCTCATCAGTATTGTCCAAGGGGATGTGCTTCTTCACATATTGTCCATCAGGTGATAATCGTTCTATGATTTGTCTACATCCTCCCTGAAGGGCGAGAGTGAACAAATCATCTCCAGTCCTATCAACCAGTGTCAGATCTGCACCTTGTCGTCTGAGGTAGTCAAACACTGCAGACTTTCCAAATATAGATGCTACCATTGTAGGAGTCCACCCATGTGTGTCTCTGTCATCAGTATTAAACCATGGACACACATGTTTCACCATACCAAGGTGCCCACCTATAAAAGCAACGTGTAGCAGACTATTCTCCATATTGTCCACTATTTTAACGTCAGCGTTTCGGGACAAAAGGAAGTCAACAACAGGAATGTGGCCTCCTCTAGCTGCCTCCAGGAGTGGTGTGCGACCGTGAAGATCTTTTGTGTCAATGTCAAAATCACCTATGACATCTTCAACAATCAACATGTTACCACCTCTACATGCAGTGTGTAGTGTTGTGTGATTATCATCACCTACACAAACACGGTTACCTACACGTTTCAGAAGGAGTTCCCAAATACTGTGTTTTCCCGAGAAAGCTGCTAACATCACTGGTGTAAACCCGTCTTCTACATGACAATTAATGTCAAACAGTGGAAGCAGGTATTCAACAATGGGAGAATTTCCACCTTGACATGCCAGATGAAGGACGGTGTTATTGTTGTCAGCATTTAGTGTGAGATCAGCTCCCTTTGACACGAGCAGGTCGACAACATCCTTCTTGCCATGCAAAGCTGCTGTCATCACTAGTGAGAGACCCATCTGTCCACAACAATTAATGTCAAACAGTGGTAGCAACTATTCAACAATGGGAGTATTTCCAACTTGACATGCCAGATGAAGGACGGTGACATTGTTGTCAGCTCTTAGTGTGAGATCAGCTCCCCTTGAGAGGAGCAGGTCGAAAATATCCTTCTTGCCATGCAAAGCTGCGCTCATCACTGGTGAGAGACCTATCCGTCCACGACAATTAATGTCAAACAGTGGTAGCAGGTATTCCACAATGGGAGAATTTCCACCTTCACATGCCAGATGAAGGACGGTGTGATTGTTGTCAGCTCTTAGTGTGAGGTTAGCTCACTTTGCCACGAGTAGGGTGACAACATCCTTCTTTCTACAAACAGCTGCTATCGTCACTGCTGTCAAGCCCAGGTTTTCCAGTCAATCATCAAACAGTGGAAGCAGGTATTCAACAATGGGAGTATTTCCACCTTGACGTGCCAGATGAAGGACGGTGACATTGTTGTCATCTCTTAGTGTGAGATCAGCTCCCTTTGACAAGAGCAGCTCGAAAACATCCTTCTTCCCATGCAAACCTGCTATCATCACTGGTGAGCGACCCATGTGTCCACGACAATTAATGCCAAACAGTGGTAGCAGGTATTCAACAATGGGACTATTTACACCTTGACATGCCAGATGAAAGACGGTGTCATTGTTGTCAGTTCTTAGTGTGAGATCAGCTCCCTTTGACACTAGCAGGTCGAAAACATCCTTCTTCCCATGCAAACCTGCTACCATCACTGGTGAGCGACCCATCTGTCCACGACAATTAATGTCAAACAGTGATAGCAGGTATTCAACAATGGGACTATTTCCACCTTGACATGCCAGATGAAGAACGTTGTCATTGTTGTCAGCTCTTAGTGTGAGATCAGCTCCCTTTGACACTAGCAGGTCGAAAACATCCTTCTTCCCATGCAAACCTGCTATCATCACTGGTGAGCGACCCATCTGTTCACGACAATTAATGTCAAACAGTGATAGCAGGTATTCAACAATGGGACTATTTCCACCTTGACATGCCAGATGAAGAACGTTGTCATTGTTGTCAGCACTTAGTGTGAGAGCAGCTCCCTTTGACATGAGCAGGTCGAAAACATCCTTCTTCCCATACGAAGCTGCTGTCATCACTGGTGTTAGACCCATCCGTCCACGACAATTAATGTCAAACAGTGATAGCAGGTATTCAACAATGGGACTATTTACACCTTGACATGCCAGATGAAGAACGGTGTCATTGTTGTCAGCTCTTAGTCTGAGATCAGCTCCCTTTGACACTAGCAGGTCGAAAACATCCTTCTTCCCATGCAAACCTGCTATCATCACTGGTGTTTGACCCATCCATCCACGACAATTAATGTCAAACAGTGGTAGCAGGTATTCAACAATGGGACTATTTCCACCTTGACATGCCAGATGAAGAACGTTGTCATTCTTGTCAGCTCTTAGTGTGAGATCAGCTCCCTTTGAGACGAGCAGGTCGAAAACATCCTTCTTCCCATACAAAGCTGCTGTCATCACTGGTGTTAGACCCATCCGTCCACGACAATTAATGTCAAACAGTGATAGCAGGTATTCAACAATGGGACTATTTACACCTTGACATGCCAGATGAAGAACGGTGTCATTGTTGTCAGCTCTTAGTCTGAGATCAGCTCCCTTTGACACTAACAGGTCGAAAACATCCTTCTTCCCATGCAAACCTGCTATCATCACTGGTGTTTGACCCATCCATCCACGACAATTAATGTCAAACAGTGGTAGCAGGTATTCAACAATGGGACTATTTCCACCTTGACATGCCAGATGAAGAACGTTGTCATTCTTGTCAGCTCTTAGTGTGAGATCAGCTCCCTTTGAGACGAGCAGGTCGAAAACATCCTTCTTCCCATACAAAGCTGCTGTCATCACTGGTAAGAGACCCATCCATCCACGACAATTAATGTCAAACAGTGGTAGCAGGTATTCAATAATGGGAGTATTTGCACCTTGACATGCCAGATGAAGGACAGTGACGTTGTAGTCATCTCTTAGTGTGAGATCAGCTCCCTTTGACATGAGCAGGTCGAAAACACCCTTCTTTGCAAAAATAGCTGCTGTCATCACTGGTGAGCGACCCATCTGTCCACGACAATTAATGTCAAACAGTGGTAGCAGGTATTCTACAATGGGAGTATTTCCACCTTGACATGCCAGATGAAGGACGGTGACATTGTTGTCAGCTCTTAGAGTGAGATCAGCTCCCTTTGACACTAGCAGGTCGAAAACATCCTTCTTCCCAAACAAAGCTGCTATCATCACTGGTGTTAGACCCACCCATCCACGACAATTAATGTCAAACATTGGAAGCAGGTATTCAACAATGGGAGTATTTCCACCTTGACATGCCAGATGAAGGACGGTGACATTGTTGTCAGCTCTTAGAGTGAGATCAGCTCCCATTGAGACAAGCAGGTCGACAACATCCTTCTTCCCATATGAAGCTGCTCTCATCACTGGTGTGAGACCCACCCATCCACGACAATTAATGTCAAACAGTTTTAGTAGGTATTCAATAATGGGAGTATTTCCACCTTGACATGCCAGATGAAGGACGGTGAGGTTGTAGTCATCTCTTAGTGTGAGATCAGCTCCCTTTGACATGAGCAAGTCCAAAACATCCTTCTTTGCAAACACAGCTGCTGTCATCACTGGTGAGAGACCCATCCGTCCACGACAATTAATGTCAAACAGTGGTAGCAAGTATTCAACAATGGGACTATTTCCACCTTGACATGCCAGATGAAGGACGGTGTCAATGTTGTCAGCTCTTAGTGTGAGATCAGCTCCCTTTGACATGAGCAGGTCGAAAACATCCTTCTTTCCAAAACCAGCTGCTGTCATCACTGGTGAGAGACCCATGCGTCCACGACAATTAATGTCAAACAGTGATAGCAGGTATTCAACAATGTGAGTATTTCCACCTTGACATGCCAGATGAAGGACAGTGTCATTGCTGTCAGCTTTTAGTGTGAGATCAGCTCCCTTTGACATGAGCAAGTCGAAAACATCCTTCTTCCCATGCAAACCTGCTAACATCACTGGTGAGCGACCCATGTGTCCACGACAATTAATGTCAAACAGTGGTAGCAAGTATTCAACAATGGGACTATTTCCACCTTGACATGCCAGATGAAGGACGGTGTCATTGTTGTCAGCTCTTAGTGTTAGATCAGCTCCCTTTGACATGAGCAAGTCGAAAACATCCTTCTTTCCAAAACCAGCTGCTGTCATCACTGGTGAGAGACCCATCCGTCCACAACAATTAATGTCAAACAGTGTTAGCAGGTATTCAACAATGGGAGTATTTCCACCTTGACATGCCAGATGAAGGACGGTGTCATTGCTGTCAGCTTTTAGTGTGAGATCAGCTCCCTTTGACATGAGCAAGTCGAAAACATCTTTCTTCCCATGCAAACCTGCTATCATCACTGGTGAGAGACCCATGTGTCCACGACAATTAATGTCAAACAGTGTTAGCAGGTATTCAACAATGGGAGTATTTCCACCTTCACATGCCAGATGAAGAACGTTGTCATTGTTGTCAGCTCTTAGTTTGAGATCAGCTCTCTTTGAGACAAATAGGTCGAAAACATCCTTCTTTCCACAACCAGCTGCTGTCATCACTGGTGAGAGACCCATGTGTCCACGACAATTAATGTCAAACAGTGTTAGCAGGCATTCAACAATGGGAGTATTTCCACCTTCACATGCCAGATGAAGAACGTTGTAATTGTTGTCAGCTCTTAGTGTGAGATCAGCTCTCTTTGACAGGAGCAGGTCGAAAACATCCTTCTTCCCATACAAAGCTGCTGTCATCACTGGTGTGAGACCCACCCATCCACGACAATTAATGTCAAACAGTGGTAGCAAGTATTCAACAATCGGAGTATTTCCACCTTGACATGCCAGATGAAGGACGGTGTCATTGTTGTCAGCACTTAGAGTGAGATCAGCTCCCTTTGACATGAGCAGGTCGAAAACATCCTTCTTCCCATACGAAGCTGCTGTCATCACTGGTGTTTGACCCACCCATCCACGACAATTAATGTCAAACAGTGATAGCAGGTATTCAACAATGGGAGTATTTCCACCTTGACATGCCAGATGAAGGACGGTGTCATTGCTGTCAGCTTTTAGTGTGAGATCAGCCCCCTTTGACACTAGCAGGTCGAAAACATCCTTCTTTCTAAAACCAGCTGTTGTCATCACTGGTGAGAGACCCATGTGCCCACGACAATTAATGTCAAACAGTGTTAGCAGGTATTCAACAATGGGAGTATTTCCACCTTGACATGCCAAATGAAGGACGGTGTCATTGTTGTCAGCTCTTAGTGTGAGATCAGCTCCCTTTGACATGAGCAAGTCGAAAACATCCTTCTTTCCAAAACCAGCTGCTCTCATCACTGGTGAGAGACCCATCCGTCCACGACAATTAATGTCAAACAGTGTTAGCAGGTATTCAACAATGGGAGTATTTCCACCTTGACATGCCAGATGAAGGACGGTGTCATTGCTGTCAGCTTTTAGTGTGAGATCAGCCCCCTTTGACAGGAGCAAGTCGAAAACATCATTCTTCCCATGCAAACCTGCTCTCATCACTGGTGAGCGACCCATGTGTCCACGACAATTAATGTCAAACAGTGGTAGCAAGTATTCAACAATGGGACTATTTCCACCTTGACATGCCAGATGAAGAACGTTGTCATTGTTGTCAGCTCTTAGTTTGAGATCAGCTCTCTTTGAGACAAACAGGTCGAAAACATCCTTCTTTCCACAACCAGCTGCTATTATCACTGGTGAGAGACCCATGTGTCCACGACAATTAATGTCAAACAGTGTTAGCAGGCATTCAACAATGGGAGTATTTCCACTTTGACATGCCAGATGAAGAACGTTGTCATTGTTGTCAGCTTTTAGTCTGAGATCAGCTCTCTTTGACAGGAGCAGGTCGAAAACATCCTTCTTCCCATACACAGCTGCTGTCATCACTGGTGTGAGACCCACCCATCCACGACAATTAATGTCAAACAGTGGTAGCAAGTATTCAACAATGGGAGTATTTCCACCTTGACATGCCAGATGAAGGACGGTGTCATTGTTGTCAGCACTTAGTGTGAGATCAGCTTCCTTTGACACGAGCAGGTCGAAAACATCCTTCTTCCCATACGAAGCTGCTGTCATCACTGGCGTTTGACCCACCCATCCACGACAATTAATGTCAAACAGTGATAGCAGGTATTCAACAATGGGACTATTTCCACCTTGACATGCCAGATGAAGGACGGTGTCATTGCTGTCAGCTTTTAGTGTGAGATCAGCTCCCTTTGACATGAGCAAGTCGAAAACATCCTTCTTTCCAAAAACAGCTGCTCTCATCACTGGTGAGAGACCCATGTGTCCACGACAATTAATGTCAAACAGTGTTAGCAGGTATTCAACAATGGGAGTATTTCCACCTTCACATGCCAGAAGAAGGACGGTGTCATTGATGTCATTTCTTAGAGGGAGATCAGCTCCTTTTGAGACAAACAGGTCGAAAACATCTTTCTTTCCACAACCAGCTGCTATCATCACTGGTGAGAGACCCATGCGTCCACGGCAATTAATGTCAAACAGTGGTAGCAGGTATTCAACAATGGGAGTACTTCCACCTTGACATGCCAGATGAAGGACGGCGTCATTGCTGTCAGCTCTTAGTGTGAGATCAGCTCCCTTTGACATGAGCAGGTCGAAAATATCCTTCTTCCCATACGAAGCTGCTGTCATCACTGGTGTTAGACACCCCCATCCACGACAATTAATGTCAAACAGTGATAGTAGGTATTCAACAATGGGACTATTTCCACCTTGACATGCCAGATGAAGGACGGTGTCATTGTTGTCAGCTTTTAGTGTGAGATCAGCTCCCTTTGACATGAGCAGGTCGAAAACATCCTTCGTCCCATACGAAGCTGCTGTCATCACTGGTGTTAGACCCCCCCATCCACGACAATTAATGTCAAACTGTGATAGTAGGTATTCAACAATGGGACTATTTCCACCTTGACATGCCAGATGAAGGACGGTGTCATTGCTGTCAGCTTTTAGTGTGAGATCAGCTCCCTTTGACACGAGCAGGTCGAAAACATCCTTCTTTCCACAACCAGCTGCTGTCATCACTGGTGAGCGACCCATGTGTCCACGACAATTAATGTCAAACAGTGGTAGCAGGTATTCAACAATGGGAGTATTTCCACCTTCACATGCCAGATGAAGGACGGTGTAATTGATGTCAGCTCTTAGAGTGAGATCAACTCCCTTTGAGACAAACAGGTCGAAAACATCCTTCTTTCCAAAAACAGCTGCTGTCATCACAGGTGAGAGACCCATGCGTCCACGACAATTAATGTCAAACAGTGGTAGCAGGTATTCAACAATGGGAGTACTTCCACCTTGACATGCCAGATGAAGGACGGTGTCATTGTTGTCAGCTCTTAGTCTGAGATCAGCTCCCTTTGAGACGAGCAGGTCGAAAACATCCTTCTTCCCATACGAAGCTGCTGTCATCACTGGTGTTAGACCCCCCCATCCACGACAATTAATGTCAAACAGTGAAAGTAGGTATTCAACAATGGGACTATTTCCACCTTGACATGCCAGATGAAGGACGTTGTCATTGTTGTCAGCTCTTAGAGTGAGATCAGCTCCCTTTGACACTAGCAGGTCGAAAACATCCTTCTTCCCAAACAAAGCTGCTGTCATCACTGGTGGGAGTCCCATCTGTCCACGACAATTAATGTCAAACAGTGAGAGCAGGCATTCAACAATGGGAGTATTTCCCCCTTGACATGCCAGATGAAGGACGGTGTAATTGATGTCAGCTCTTAGAGTGAGATCAACTCCCTTTGAGACAAACAGGTCGAAAACATCCTTCTTTCCAAAAACAGCTGCTGTCATCACAGGTGAGAGACCCATGCGTCCACGACAATTAATGTCAAACAGTGGTAGCAGGTATTCAACAATGGGAGATTACTTCCACCTTGACATGCCAGATGCAGGACGGTGTCATTGTTGTCAGCTCTTAGTCTGAGATCAGCTCCCTTTGACACTAGCAGGTCGAAAACATCCTTCTTGCCATACGAAGCTGCTGTCATCACTGGTGTTAGACCCCCCCATCCACGACAATTAATGTCAAACAGTGATAGTAGGTATTCAACAATGGGACTATTTCCACCTTGACATGCCAGATGAAGGACGGTGTCATTGTTGTCAGCTCTTAGCGTGAGATCAGCTCCCTTTGACATGAGCAAGTCGAAAACATCCTTCTTCCCAAAACCAGCTGCTGTCATCACTGGTGAGAGACCCATCCGTTCACGACAATTAATGTCAAACAGTGGTAGCAGGTATTCAACAATGAGAGTATTTCCACCATGACATGCCAGATGAAGAACGGTGTCATTGTTGTCAGCTCTTAGAGTGAGATCAGCTCCCTTTGACACTAGCAGGTCGAAAACATCCTTCTTCCCATACAAAGCTGCTGTCATCACTGGTGAGAGTCCCATCCGTCCACGACAATTAATGTCAAACAGTGATAGCAGGTATTCAACAATGGGAGTATTTCCACCTTGACATGCCAAATGAAGAACGGTGTCATTGTTGTCATCTCTTAGAGTGAGATCAGCTCCCTTTGACACTAGCAGGTCGAAAACATCCTTCTTCCCATACAAAGCTGCTGTCATCACTGGTGAGAGTCCCATCTGTCCACGACAATTAATGTCAAACAGTGATAGCAGGTATTCAACAATGGGAGTATTTCCACCTTCACATGCCAGATGAAGGACGCTGTCATTGATGTCAGCTCTTAGAGTGAGATCAGCTCCCTTTGAGACAAACAGGTCGAAAACATCCTTCTTTCCAAAAACAGCTGCTATCATCACAGGTGAGAGACCCATGTGTCCACGACAATTAATGTCAAACAGTGATAGCAAGTATTCAACAATGGGAGTATTTCCACCTTGACATGCCAAATGAAGAACGGTGTCATTGTTGTCATCTCTTAGAGTGAGATCAGCTCCCTTTGACACTATCAAGTCGAAAACATCCTTCTTCCCATACAAAGCTGCTGTCATCACTGGTGAGAGTCCCATCCGTCCACGACAATTAATGTCAAACAGTGGTAGCAGGTATTCAACAATGGGAATATTTCCACCTTGACATGCCAGATGAAGGAGGGTGTCATTGTTGTCAGCTCTTAGTGTAAGATCAGCTCCCTTTGACACTAGCAGGTCGACAACATCCTTCTTTCCACAAACAGCTGCTATCGTTACTGCTGTGAAACCCAGGTTTCCCCGACAATTAATGTCAAACATTGGGAGTAGATATTTTACAATTGCGATACTGTCTATATGGTATCCATGACGGAGAGACAGGATTCTGTTGTCAATATTGTTTCTCCTACAAACCAAGTGGAGTACATTATTATTATCAGTATCGGTTATACGAACATCGGCCCCTTCAGATCTGAGCAGACTAAATATTTTATAGTTCTCATATAAAGCAGCAATCATAACCAGTGTTTTCCCCATAGAATCTCTTGCATTAATGTCAGTGACTGGGAGGAAGAATTTTGAAAGTCTCACGTCACCTACTCTACAGCTGTACTGCAAGGCTAAATGAGATGCACTTTGAAAGTCGAAGTCTCCAGTGAGATCTTGGACGTATAATCCTTTGGTAATAAATACAAATATTTCTCTTCCTATTAGATTGAACCCCTTCATCCTAGCAATTTGAAAGACATTTTCTCCAACATCATTTTTTGATTCAAAGACATCAGCTCCAATGTTAAGTAAGGCTGATGCAACGTCTTTGTAATTATTGTCTGTGGCAGTCACTAGAGCTCTGTTGAGCACACTTTGATGAGGCAGTGACGTATATTTGGAAGATAACAACAACAACACTGCTTCGTTCCCACAGGAAGCACAGGCCTTGAAGGCTTCCATGATCTCTTCATTTGAAAAACCGTACCCAAAATCAAGGATTTTCTCAACCAAGTACAGACTGTGTGCATGAACTGCATAGTACAGTAAGTGCTTCCCTTCTTCCTTTGCATGTAACATGGCAAGCCGCTGTGCATCTTCCGTATTCGGCAACCAGTTAAGCTTGTTGGATTTCTTCAGTTTAAGCATCTTGAACACTTTGTCAACTATTTGCTCGTTTTTCAAAATCGGGTGTGCAATAGACATACTGTAGTTGCCTTTGACAACAGCGTCAGCCAGTCTGGAGGCAACTGTGTCATAGTAAGCATCTGAGACGTAGATGATGTGGAGGTGATTATCTATTGCAGTGGACTGGACTGGCTGGGTCCGTACACGCTCATAAAGGAATCTGATACTGCAGTGGTTCAGAACGAAGGATGGATTCATTTTGAAAAGAGCACACGCACAGGCGTCATAGATGGTGGGGTGTGAAAATCCAAGGATATCTCCATCCGTGAAAAATGTACCCCTGTAACACCTGACGGCTTTGGCAACTACAGTCCATGACGTTACTTGTGCCACCCGTTTTGTGGCCTGCAGATTAGCTTCTAAAACATCATTTTCAGATTCCATTTCTACCTGGCTCAAGTTCAGATTATTTTCGCACAGCAACATGAGGATGAGCGCAGCAGACTGGTCATTTCTACGTTCTATGATCATGTCAATTTCTTGCCGTAGATAAAATAGGGGTTCTCGGAAAAACTGTGCAGGTTCTTTCTGAAAACTCAGAAATTCACAAAACAGTGTACATATTAGGGGAAAACCAAACAAAGATTCACTTGTGTCACAAAGCTCACCAATATCGAGGTCCAGGTCGATGTTATGGTGTCTTAGTTGTTTCTGGAGTATTTTCCTTCTTTCCTGGGGGCTGTATTGACATGACTTACTTTTAGTCAAATCGAGAAGCGATGGTCCAGTGAAAAAATAATATTCTTGGCCATTCAACTTTGCGACTCCACATTCCAGGTTGTATGATTTAGTGGTGAAGATAACGCGAATCTCTGACTCAGCGCCTTGATGTGTTTCCCGCTTGTTATCCTTACTAGAGTTAGCATTTTCTAAATAATGTTTCAGATTTTGCAGCATGGTCCTAAGATGGGGAACGTCAGTTGATAAGCCGACTGTTCCAAATATATCATCCAGTATCAGACAAACTTTCTTTCCACGCAGGTCACAATTCTTCAACTCGAATTTATCCACATCATCAACAAACACAAGTTCATACCCCTGGTTCCTGAGATCTGCTCCGATCATCAAGGCAATGGACGTTTTTCCTTCACCAGAAGCACCACTCATTGTCACATGACCATACTTCTCCAAGCGTTCTTTCACTCTCTTGTAGTTAGCAGTTTTCTCAAAGACATCTTTGACTCGTTTCAGATTCATTTCCAGCATATCTACAAGACGAAAATGACATTTACTGCTATCACATCAGTTTTAAATCATATATGCTGTTACATCTGCCGTATCGTATCTACGTCTGATTGCCACATTAACTCGAAATAAATTCATTCAAGATCGTCTTTTGCCATTAACTCAGTCAGTTACGGAATTGCAATTGAGTAACCTTGATCAAACAAGTTATGAGCTAGAGTTATATGTAACTCCTTGATATATAAAAAATGTACTTCAACAGTTATAAAATGTAAGTACCAAAGGCTGGATTTGCTACAATATTCTTCACACCGAGGGAATAAAAGCCGATGAATCCGATGCAGGGGGCGATCCCAGTCGCCTGTCCTCTTTGCCCAACAAAAAAGAGCATCACGAAGCTAACGGTTCTGATTTAACAGGATTAAGAATTACATAATCCAGTCACCCAACCACCACACATTACCACCTAGAGTAATATACAGCATGGTTTTCTACAGCTTCTTATACACAAAACATTCATTGTCATCATCTGTCTATTATGTCTGTGTAGAGGTAAATCTTACCTAAATCAACATATTGTATGAAGTTGAAAGAGAAAGGATACATTTAGAGAATAGAAAGGTTTAAGACCTTAAGACAATCCTGTCAGCCTGAGTTCTTCAAAGGCCACTTCCAAATGGAAGTTGGTGTGATGTGGCTATTAACAAGTGGAGCTTCGTTGTAGCTACTAACACCATCACCAAGCAAGTGAACACTCAGGTTGTATGTCCGTAGAACTCTCCCGGTTGCTCACTTCTAGCTGGTTTTAAATGCATTTGTTTTGTCCCATAACAAGGCTATGTTTCTCCAATTAGGCATCATTATTACCTGACTTCATTATTCCATCATTGTGACCTCCAACAGATAAGCTGACATCAGAAGAGTCCTGTACTATGATGCCTTTGAAGTCAGATCCTGCAATGAGAGTAGAAACAGCAAGTGAGTCACAATGGATCATGCAGTAGCTTCGTTGTGGCCGCAGCCTGATTGTATGTGTTTGATACTTGTCAGATACTTACGTAATTTTGGAAGGAAACAACAATAAGTGTAACCAACGATGGCACCAACTCCCTTGCACGTTTTAGACAATAAAGTGTGTTTCAGAAAATACCGTCATTGATACTGATTTTTATCAAAGGTGGTGAATATTTTGTTTGTGATAAGCATTCTAGTTACCTGCAGTGATTCTAGTTGACAGCGCTTGCCTTTCTCGTCTCTCGGAAACAGCCATGGTACTATTTCCGGCACTGGCCTGACGCTCGACCACTTCTGATGATGCTATCATGTCCATGGAGAATGTCCCATCACCATGTGTTTCTTGGGGAACGACATCCACATCATTGTCATTACCAGGTTGTGCTACTTCTGATGTTGCTATCATGTCCATGGAGAATGTCCCATCACCTTGTCTTCCTTGGGGAACGACATTACCATCATTGTCATTACCAGGTTGTGCTACTTCTGATGATGCTATCATGTCCATGGAGAATGTCCCATCACCATGTCTTCCTTGGGGAACGACATCCACATCATTGTCATTACCAGGTTGTGCCACTTCTGATGTTGCCAGGTTGTCCATTGGGAAAGTTTCATCACCATCTGTCTCACTTTCCCTGTTATGACGTTCAGATTCTGTCTCCCTCTGATTCCTCGACATGTCTGAAAATCAATGTTAGAAACATTAACCTATTCCACAAGTGAAACTAAAATTGATAAACCATTGATAAATGAAGTTATTAAGCAACATACAGGCTTGACTTGTGATTGTGATAGACGCCACCGGCTAGGCAAGAATGTTTATCATAACTTCTTTTGGATCTTGAATGTGCTTCTGGTTTAAAGATTTTATTTTGCACCATGCTGGGATGTCAAGTAAGATTATTGGATTAGCACTGAACGTTAACCACACTGTGACCAGCCAGATCAAAACCAATATGACAGGTGAAGGATCTGCCAAGATCTGGATGACTACGAAAAATTAGCGCTAAAACGTCCATGCGTACCCACAATAGTGCGTCTGTCAGCACCGTGAGACGTAGGATTAAGGGCCAGAATACCAATCAAACCTTACCTATATATATATTGATTGATTGATTGTTTGTTGTTTAACTCCGCACTCAGCAATATTCAATCTATAAGACGGTGGTCTGTAAGTAATCGATTCTGGACCATATAATCCAGTGATCAACAGCATGATCTTCTTCATTCTACAAGCTTGATATTCGATAATCACAGCAAGACTGTGATTCGGAAATATCGACTTCAAACGAGCCGTATGTAATTGAACATCAACAGCTGAGCTCCTTATGACGTCACCTAACAACAGGCGTGAAAACAGCCCGTCGTCAATCTATATTGGGGCATTGAGTGGCACGCTCATTTCCGATAACGCGCGTGCGTTTTTTAGCGATAACCGTTTTCAGCAATTCTAACCCGGATCTTCACTACACAATCTGGCCAAAAACTTGCTTGTGTGATCTGTGGAAGGGGAAACTACTCCTGATATTAACAGAAGCTGGTGGTCTTTTCCCTGTGACATGTGAATGAAATTACAAAAACATTTTGCGTACTTCTCCTGACACATACCATACTTATCTTGCCCAAAGGTACTCTTTATTACAGTTCATGTAGTCACAGAAGATAAAGTTTTTCCCCACTCAGACAATGCATATTTTGCAATTTGTTCTTCAAAAGAACACTCAGTATGTTGAATTACAAGTTTCATTGCTTCTGGTTCCACATTCTGGTCTCTCTCCTATCTGATGGACAAACAGATAAAATGTAACATTTATTGGATGTTGTGCAAAAATAATATCATCCTTATTTGTCCCCATTTGTTTATCGGTATTATATAGTGACAGGCAAACACAAAACTACACAGTCACAGATATAGAAAATTCAAAAACATACACACATGTACACACAGAAATACCGAAACTCACACAGACACACTGACATACGCATAGGTAACGCATACAAACATTCACATACAGACAGACGGACATACACAGTTACCCACACATACAGACAAGCAGACACACTGAGACATGCACAGACATAAACATGCGCACACATATATTCATTCACACAATCAAATACACACAGACACATACAGACAACCGCACACACGCACAAACACAATTAGACACACACCTACTCACTCATACAACTAAGTAACATACACATAAAGACACACCGAAATTTGCTATCTTAATTCTTTGACCTCGATACATCAGTTGTTGACTTTGTCAGATCAAATGTTTTCATCTTCATGTAATTTCATGACAGGGTTCCCGTTCATTCTTCATGAAGAATTCAGAAAGGTTCGAGTTGTAACCATGGTTTCCGTCGTGAGACTAACAGCAGATGACTGAACACTGTCAACACTAACAGAATGTCATACATGTAGAGTTATATGCATGCACAACAAATCATCGGTTAAAGTAAGACATCACTGTAAGGTATGCTCAAGCTGCTCACTGTTCTCGTAGATACACCTCTGTTGTCAGGTATGGTACGGGCTCGAAGGGTTGGAACCTGTCTCGGAGGTTCGTGGTTCGAATCCATCAGTCGTTAATGATGGGCGGTTACTATGGGGACGGTCTAGCATTTGAACTTATTGCAATAATCGCAAACTTGTCTTTCTTTGGACGTTGAATTGGTGACCAACGTCACAATTTAAGGTACTGAAGAATACATTCCGATCCCCAGTTTTCATTTTCTGCGTGGCGCGGTATGTCAAGCTTAATCCAGAAAGATGAATACTTCCTTCTGTACTTCTTGAGACTGCTTAGATTGGAATGACAGGCATATGGTTATCTAGCCTATTCATGAACTTTGACTCAAATACTCGTATTTCATACATCTTGCTGATTTCGTGCAATTTCAACAACAACAAAACCAACATATGCTTCATTGCGTTTCTGGGTCTTTAACCATGTCAACACACCCTTTCTATGGTTCAAGCACAAATTTCATTTACAGGATTACCAATGAAACAGTGTAAAACTTTTCCCTCTGAGTAATATATCAGATCTTCAGTCTCTCAGAAATTAACACAAGTGCAGCGTAAAAGGGCTATAGATATGCTCCAAATGGGGGTACCACAGACCCATGCTGCAATAACATTAAATTGCTCCCGTAATACCACAGGGGCGTGTCGCGTTTAGAAACAGCGTTAGAAAGACATATAGGTATATAGACCCTACCCTAGTACTATATGAAAGGAAAGGGATGTAACGACGGAACCAAACCTCCTCAATTAAAGATAGATTTCAACACGTAAACTATTTTTAAAGCCCCCGTCGAGGCCTACGGATCGAAAGCTAGAAGATGTCTCTATAAAATGAGCAATAAATGGTCACAATCAGATCATTATTGCAAAAGTTATACGCCACGACTCATCGAAAACAGCAACCTCCGCAATTCCAAGCCAAAATCAGCCAAGACAGCGAAAACGCACCTTTTCAATTCGTTTATTAATTCCAGCCACGTTGACAGCACCTATGTAGGGCTATCATCCGATCGGCAGCGGCACTCCACGGGGGTAAAAACTTATTGCAACATCTACAAATCATTTCCTCGACAGTAAGCAGGCATTTTCTCAAAAAAACCACTTGGGCAGATATTGAAAAACTGTTTTGTGTACCTCATATTGACATTACCATCCATTATTAATTCATTGTTCATTGTATTGCTGGGACAGTTTGCACAAGGTTTTAGCACATATAGATGTTGACAATACTCTTTATTAGGATCATTTATGTTTTGTTATTTTTTGTCGTTATTGAGCTTCAGATCGGCCCCCATGTTTAGTAGGCAACACTGTAAGCCTCGAAGTCTCGCCCAAATTGGTGTCTTGGAACTTTGCCTAGTATCTGGATACTAGTAGCACGTTCATTGTTAAGTGTTTAAATTTTCTGGATAAAATAGAGTCATTTGATATGTACATGCAACAAAAGAATTTAATTCTTAAGGACACGTTCCACAAAGTCCTCCAGTTTTTTTCCCGTTAGAATATGTTGACATGGTCCCTGAAACAATATCACATTTCTGTTTTAACAGTTCATGCTTATCGGGAGAGACATTTTATAATAGAATTGTATTGCATATTTCGCAACTGTACCCGTGAGGGATTCTATGGAGGAAATTAGTTTGAACCCTAAACCTGAGAAACCACCTGTAACCCACAGGGATAACAAATTGCTGCTGAAACTTAAACCTTGAGCCCGACAAGTGGAGCTTCATGTGGAGACCACGTGTATATCACCCTGAGCAGCCATCTTGTCCAGTAGATGGGATATGACACGTCTATGTTTCTGGACCTCATCTCAACTGTTTGCGAGCAGTCTTTGTTGTCTACAACTAACACGACCAGCCCCCCTACCTTTAGAGAAACCAACGTGAACCTACCTACATATGACAACGTAACTCGCCCTTACCTTCTAACAACTAGACTCGACCTTTCTCACTGCTACCGCCCACCATTTACGTCACATTCACGTGCAGACACGTGAAGGATTCTCCACACGACAGAAAAACAGATAACTTATCACACCTGTCAATCACTTAATGATAAGTTTCTTCATTAGGTTTCTGTATAACAGTAGGTCAGTTGTTGTTTAACGCCGCGCACAGCAGTACTCCAGCTACATGTCGTCGGCCTGGAAATAATCGAGTCTGGATCAGACAATCCTGTGATCAACATCATGTTTCAATATGATAACTGCACATTACGCGTATAGAATTAATTCTATAGATATTTGTCTTAGAGTGAGTGTTCTCTTCGGCTGTGTGCTGTATTCAACCGACTGTCAGCCTGAGAAGCTGGATGAGGCATTTTCGAGATGATCGGTACAACTCTTGCTTAGTAACGTCAATTGAATATTCAATTCTCTCATTTGACCTGTCACCTTATCTTGATGTAGTTGTTGGGTTTTCCCCTGGATCTATACAGCTACAGTATGGGACATTATCCATAACAAAACCAGATTTGTCTGAATATGCTGGGGTTTCTTATTCTAATTTTCACTTATGAAAGTTATTCCCCGAAAAAAAATACTTTTTCCCATACACACTTTAAACCAGGCAGCTATGTTTATTAAGATTTCCATACAGAAGCAGATGGCTTCGAATTTCCAGACGAGTTTAGGAAGCACATATTGAAAGATGGCTGCAAGAACGACTCATGTCTATTGAGAAACACAAAAATATATAGAGTTCTTATGGGCTGCCTGTCCGAGTGCGTCTCTGCTCGCTGAGTATCTGGCCTATGTTATCAGACACTAACTTCTCCGATAAAGAGTGTTGACGCATCACGGCGCAGGCCAAGGTTTCATTCCCTATATAGGTATATAAAAAGAAATCTACTTGTGGCGTCCCATGCTGACAAATTGCTGAAATATTACTACAGGCGGCATACATTCATATTCTGATCAGAATAATAATTTTGTGCTTTCCGTCCGGAACCCCACTCATTCATTCACACAATCATCCATTCACAGGTCCTCATCTGTTTAATATATACGAACATGGAGAATTTGCCAGTCTAACATACTAACAGGTGATCAGCAACAAACATACTTAGACTAACGGGCTAAAGAAACGATACCAAGTCGAAATCAGTGGCATTACAAAACGACAAACCAGCATTGTTGCCAATACACCTGTCATTAAAATTCACTTTCCTTTTTCACAATGATGGTTTCTCGTTTTGTAATATCAGTGATTTCGACTTGGTATCGTTACTTTTGCCGGTTAGTTTAGAATACATACTGATTTAGTATGAAACACAGGGATGACAATTATAATGATTGGGCTCCCCAAGATAATCACGATAATCATGTTCTCTGGACGATCACATAACGGACTGGTTGGAAAGCCCAGAAGGCTCTTGTTTCAAAGAGGAACCTTGTAACATTATTCAAAAACGATAATAGAAGAACATGTTCAGAACTAGACCAAGCATCTTGAGTTCATTCAACTGACCAGCTCCATGGGACGTGCACAACTTTAGTTGTCTGATAATCTGCAGAACTACCTTAACTTACTGGATACCCATTTACCCCCCTCCCACACACAACCCCGCTCACACACACACACACTAGCCCCGCTCACAAGCTATCATTGAGGGTTTAAATTTTCTGGATGAAATAGGGTCATTTGATCTTTAAATGCAACTGACGATTTTGTCTTTAACATCACTTTCGACAAAGACGTTCAGTTTCTTTCTGTTACAACGTGTTCAGAAGGTACCTGAGTCACATTTATCAGTTGACAGTTCATATTGTCAGGGGAGATATTTCGCAACATGAAATGTGGGTTGCCTGCAGCGTAATTATTCACTGATATCATAAGGTTGTCACGTTTAGATTCTCGTTTTTGTCGGAGGAAGTCATCGAGCATCACAAATCGTGTGCTGTCTCTGTCAACCCTCCAGACGGAAACGTATGTGTGTGTGCGTGCGTGCGTGTATCTGTGTGTTTGCATGAAATTGTGGTTGTCTGTTTATAAGAATTTAGTTGCGCTGCTTATTTTGCCGTGAATGAGAAAACGGAGAAAACGTCATATACAAAATGTTAATTTGGAGAGCACTTAAAATTGCATATCACCCTGAGCGGTCATCTTGCCCTGTAGCTGTGATACGACACGTCCATGTTTCTGGACCTCATATCAACTGTTTGTAAGCAGTCTTTATTGTATACAACTAACAGGACCAGTCTCATATCTTTAGAGAAACCAACCTGAAACTACCACGGAAATATGACAACGTAAATCGCCCTTACCTTCTAACCGCTAGACTCCATCTTTCTCACTGCTACCACCCACCATGTACGTCACATTTACGTGCAGACACGTGAGGGATTTTCCACACGACAGTTACACAGATAACTTATCACACCTGTCAATCACTTAATGATAACTCACAGTACATGTTACCATTAAAAACTCAGATTTGTCAGACAATGCAGGGATTCCCTTTCTCCCGACATCCCTCAATTACTTTTTTGTTGCTTTTTTTACTTAAAATAATATAGCATTTTCTTATTTTAATTTTCACAGATGCTGTGGAAAGTTATTCTCCGAAACAAAATACTACCCCCTTTCGCACCATTTAAACCGGCCAGCTATGTTTATTGAGATTTCCATTCAGAAACAAAGGTACTCGAATTTCCAGACTCGAATTTAGGAAACTCATTTAGGAGACATAGCTGCACGGAAGACTGATTGCTATTGAGAAGCACAAAAGATATATAAATAATGACTGTCTGCCCGAGTGTGTCACTGCTCTAAGGTTTATCTTACCTCTTATCAAACATAGCTTTTCCGAGAAAGAGTGTTTGCGCATTGCGGCGAAGCCCTAGGTTTGATTCCCTACATGGGTGTACTATATGAAATCTGTTCGTGGCGTCCAACGCTGACAAATGAATATTACTACAGACGGCATAAATCCATATTCAGATCAGAGCCAACTGTGTGTAACGCCTCTTGGCCAAACAATACATTAGACGTATATCCCAATCATTTATTCACAAGACCTCATCTGCTGCATATATATACATGGAGAATATGCCAGTCTAACATATTGACAGGTGATCAGCAATAAACATACGTAGAACTGATTTAGTATCAAACACAAGGGTAGCTGATGAGCTGACCATACTTCCAGCTCGTACTATGGTGACAATTTTATTACTTATTTGTAATACATATCAAGTATTGCGGCGACTGTTTATACCTTTACACTTTTATGAATATCCAACAATCCAAAAATTTAATACGCTTCTGCAATCATCAAATGCAAGCATCTTAAAACATTTATCGGCATATATATATCAAGCTATATATGTTACTGAGAGAGTCCTCATTATAACATATTTTCTCACTCTGTAATTCTCAAAGTGTAACCTGGGCCTATGGCCTATATTACTTTTCTGAAATAAACCACCATTATACTGACTGTGGCCCATATACAGTAATGGTTGTGGACCAAGATGATAATGATCATCTTGTTCTCTGGGTGATCACAAAAGAGACTGGTTGGAAAGCCCAGAACTCACTGGTATCGAAGACATTACTTCGAAACATTATTCAAAAACGATAATAACAATAAACATGTTTAGGACTAGCGTCATAATCAGTGCATTCAACTGACCAGCACCATGGGATGTACACAACCCAAGATGACGAAGTAAATGTCATGGTCCGTGATGTGACAAAGAAGGTTCTCATATGGAAGAGCTTGTGGGATGATGAAATTTACCCGTGACCCAGTCTCGGCACTATAAAAACCCGGCTCCCGATTAGAGGCATCCTCTGAGAATGTTGATCCTGCTTCTTGGTGCCAGGGAGGAGAGGAAAGTAACATCATTTTTTTTTTTATAACTTTTATTCCTAAAGAATCTGGTTTGGTACACAAGCACAACTTTGCTTATATCAATACCTCACCAGTACATATATCATTTAAACAAAATACACAAGAACTGGATACACAAAACGACAAATTAAATCATATATGTGCGTTGTAGGTGCTTATAAACCTTGAGCCTGCAGCTACACTTCATTAATTGTTTACATATATTAGTCTAGCATAATTTGTCAAATCGTTTAGACTTAAAGATTTATTGATGCGGGGACTCTATTATGTTCTTATTGACATCGTTGTTTGCCGGAGGTATTCCGTTTAACACAGTTTGGAGATTGTGGCCATTTACATAGAAGTAAGTATCATTTCTAATAGCAGTGTATAACTTACATGTAAAAGGATAATGAACAGTATCTTCATTGTGGTATCCACAAGCGCATCCAGTGTCTATTTACTTTATCCGCATTCAAATCACTACAGCCGACAGCCGAGCTTAAGTCGACAGTGTACGATCTGACAGAATCGACTGCCATAATTTAGATCTAGATAATTAAGTGATTCATCATTTTTAAGCAGAGATTTAAATTCAACGATTGAGTTAACGAATACTAAATTATCAGGTAATGAATTCCAGATTTTAATTGTGTCAGGTAGGGACGACTTTTCATATATTTTAGTCCTACAATTTATTGTTTGTAACTTAAATTTATTACGGAGATCATATTGACGGTTTTCAGAGACAAATTTAGGGACAAGGTCACAGAGGTAGTCAGGTGCGAGATCGTTATTCATCTTGTAAAAATTATTAGTTTAATGTCGCGCCTTCTTTCTTTTAATGGTTTATACTTTGTTTCGATATAAAACCTATGATGACTAGTGCCACGAACTGCGCCGCATGTTGTACGAAGAGCATCTAGATGTAACCGTTCAAGAATAAGGGACTGATCATTTGTACAATTAACCCAGACATGACAACAATAGTCAAATATCGGCATCACAAACGATTTGCACCTGGTTTCTAGCGTTTGGAGAGGCGATATTTAAAGCTTCAGAGACAGTTTATCATGCGGCTAACTTTCTTAACAATATCTTCAATATGACTTTTCCATCCACAATCACTCTGTAGAGGTATACCTAGGTGTTTATGACCTTCGACTTCCCGTATCAGGGTTTGGTTCATGTTCAAGGTCGGAATCGTATCATTTTTATGTTTGCGAGAAAAATTGTTTGTTTCGGGTTTATCAGGGTTGAAGTAAACTTGCCACTTGTCTGCCCAGCTAGATATACTGTTTAAATCATCGTTCAGACAGGATGCGGCAGTATCGTGATCATCTACAATTACGTAAAGTGAGGTGTCGTCAGCAAATAAACGTATGTGGCATTTTATACCATCTACTATATCATTTATGTATACAATAAATAGTAAGGGTCTCAATACGGAATCTTGTGGGTCGCCAGTAAGTACAGGTTATAATCGGAACAGTATCCATTAATGATAACTTTTTTGTGATCTGTTTTGTAAATAACTTTCAAACCAATTCAAAAGCGATCCACCAATGCCATAGTTTTTAAGTTTAGAAATAATGCCCTTGTACCATACCTTATCAAATGCCTTACTAATGTCACGAAAAACAGTTCTGACCTCTTCATCTTTATCAAGTCCTTTGGCTATAAAATCATACAAATAAGTTAGTTCATTAGCCGTCTGTAATCGGTGACTTTGAGATGGCTATCATGAGGGCAGTTAAGTCTGTGTTTGGTAATCATGTACAGACACAAGGTTGTTTGTACCATCGTACTCAGAGCACCTGGCGAAAAATACAAGAATTGGGACTTGTCACACTGCACAAGGAGAACGACCATGTCAAACACTTGTGTGGGATGCTTGATGGCCTATCTTTGCTTCCTATCTAGGATGTATCGGCTGGTTTGGAATTCTGGGAAACTAACATTCCCGAGAGCCTTGATACCTTGTGTCCTGCTTCCGAGATACATATGTCGTTGGGACTTATAGAAGAATCCAACAGCCAGCACTTAACCCAGATGCTCCCCCACCACACATGAAGATGAGAAGAACCCCTTCCCTGTTTCCACCACCAGTGTGGAATGTGCATCAGGCACCTATTGACAGGGGAAGCAAGACAAATAACATTTGTGAATCCTGGAATAGTGGATTCAAGAAGTTGACTGGTCACAATCATCCTGTGGCGTGCAATACAAGGATTTCAACGTGACCAGGCTCTGGCTCTGACACCCGGCTTCTCCAGTTTGCCTGGAGTTACAGACCCACCAAAAGATCAAAGAAACTCCGTGACCAACAAGCAAAGAGGCTGCAAAACTGTGTATGGACTTTAAACCTCAATGTAAAAACTGTTCCAGAGTTTCTTGAGAATGTTGGACACACTGTAAGATTTGGATAAGATGGGACAAGTGCTGTATAAGGGAAATATTCTGAGTTTGGGTAGGGCTATGCTGATTTGTTTTTGATTTGATGTGACAAGTAGTGCTGCTCAGAAAATATGTGTTCAAATGCTCTCATTGGATAGGACTAAGTTGATTTTTTATATTAGAATGTAAATAAATCTTGTGAAATCTGAATTGTTTTCGTATATATTATCATATGGGGCTTTTGTCTGAGATGTATGGGGCTTTTGTCTGTGGGACTTCATTCCTGCGGGGATTTTGTCAGGCAGTCGCACCGTCCTATGTCTAATGGTACGTTGTCATGGAAACATTGTCTGATGTGGTCGGTAGATAGGAGAATCCGTTGGAGCAGGTGACATCCTCGTGAGTCTGGTTCCTCATAACTATGAGTGCATGCAGGATCCGGAAATCGCTGCAGGCAACTAAACACAACACAAATTCAACATCAGTCTCATCATGAACTACTTGTTGACAATTCCAACCTGTCAATACAGTACTGAAACAGTAGTAGTAAATCCTGTTTTTCTGCACAGTGAGATCTATTCCAGCCTGATTTCCCTATTGTTTCAACTTGGAATCAACAGGTCACACGACGGCTGACATTATTTCTGGTTTGGAGTGAAAGCACATTTCTAATGTTGTGTCATTTCACAGGAGGACTCACCCCTTAAGAAATCCTGGAAGAACAGTTAGGTGCATTCTGGTAAAACTTCTAATATTCTATACAGGCCTCTCTGTTATTTAAAACTGACGAGCATATGATGTTTACCGACATAGCAACATTGGAATCAACAATCATAATCCTGTTGTGCCAAAGGGACGCAACTCCCATTGAATTGCAGCGACATAGAAGACTTGGCCAACCGTGCTTCAGTTATACATAGTGGATTCATTCGGTCAAATACATATGGAAAAACTGTTTACGTGATGTTCGGGATAATAAATAATAGATAAATCCATAATGGTTATAAATAATAAACATATCAAAAGCATTAACAACAAAGATTTGTAGTTTAAAAC